GGTCCTTCTTTCTCTCTCTCTGTCCTTCCCTTCCTCTTTCTCTTCTTCCTCCCCTCCCTCTCTCCTTCCCTCCCCCCCTTGTCTTTTCCTACCTCCTTCCCTTCCTTCCTCCTTCCTTCCATCCTTCCCCCCCAGCCTCTTTCCTTCTTTCCCTCCCTTCCTCCTCCCATTCTTCCTTCCTTCCTTTCTTCACAGAGTCTTGCTGTGTAGCCCAGGCACACCTCAAATTCATGATCCTTGTCCACCTCCCAAGTGCTGGGATTACAGGTGTGAGACACCATGCCCTTTTTTTTTTGGTTTTGTGTTTGTTTTTTGTTTTGGCAGTACTGGGGGTTGATCTCAGGGACCTGTACTTGCCAGGCAGGTGCTTTGTTATTTGAGCCATGCCCCCAGTCTCTTTTGCCTTGGGTTATATTTTAGATAAGGTCTCTCTCTTTTTTTTGCCTGTGATCCTCCTACCTACATCTACTATGTAGCTGGGACCACAGTTGTGCACCACCACATTCAGCTTATTAGGATGAAGTCTTGCTAACTTTTTGCCCTGGCTGGCCTGGAACTGCAATCATCCTCCTCCCAAGTAGATGGGATTACAGGCATGAGCCACAGTGCCCTGCCTTTGTTTTTGTTTTTAAGATTGGTTCATGTTGAAATACCCAGCCCTAAATTACTCGACTACTCTTTAAAATTGTACCAAATCAATGTTCTACAATTTTCTAACCATTTCCTTGTTGGTGGACCTTTTGATTGCTTTCAGTTTGCTTGTTTTTTCCTTTGGCTTTATAAACAATACTAGATGTTTTGCACATGCACAAGGAGAATTTCTCTAGAAGTTTTTTTAAACTGTGGGTTGCAACTAGCATGCATATTTTAAAAGTAGAAAGAGAACAGAAGAGCAGATACTAGTCTGAGGCATATAGTAAGAGTTTAAGAGCGGTGTTTTGTAGAACTTTGTTTTCGGGGTATGTGTACTGGATTAAGATATGAAATACATTTTCTACTTTGGTCACAGGCAGACAACACCTGACTCGCTATTAGAATTGCCCTCGAGTTGTGAGGCCAGCTTATGACTGGTGCTCCCATGCTGTGCATCTGTCCCAAGTGTTTTGTTTTTTTCCTACTTTAAATTGTTCATCCCCCAGTGAGTGGTTTTACCTTGTCTTTTCCTGATAACTAGTGAGGTGGTGGTTAATCCTTTTTTTCCATGACCTGGAGATTGAACCCAGGGGCCTTGCCCATGCTAGGCAAGTGCTGCATGGGTTGAGCTATGCCCCGGCCCTCTTTTTTTTTTAAATTAGAGGAAAATTAGTATAATTAGGTCAGTGTTGAAAATGGTAATGCGTATAATACTTGAATGATATAAATACATTTCTTTGAAAGTTGGAATTACATGACTTGCTAGCACTAATGATTGACAGTTGGGAGCTGCTTTAATTGAGCGGTTTAATTTTATGAGCTCTCTCTTTACACACTGTAATCCATGTTCAGTTCTATAAACCTGAGTCTTTGAATTTGGTATAATGACCTTGTATTTGTACTAAAACAAGACCATCGGTAGTTATTAGTAAGAGCATCATTTTATTGATGAGTATCAGTATTACTGTATGTGTACACAGATACAGGCACATTTTTTTCTATTAAAATGTTATAATAAGAGTGGAAATGTGGTTCAAGCAGTAGAATCTGCTTTGCAAATGCAAAGCCCTGAGTTCAAACCCAAGTCCCACTGAAAAAAATTACAATAAAATGCATGGAATACTTTTAAAAGTATAGAAGGATTAAAAACGGTGTTTTTTTTTTTTCACTTCCTGTCCTCCAGTTGTCCCCTGGAGCAAGTGCTATTAAAAGGTTTTTCTAAGACCTCTTAGACATGTATATACTTGATCACTGTCCCCGTCTTCCGTTCCTCCCCTCCCGTTTACTCAGATGACATCATTCCGTGCATTGTTCCAGAGCTGCCTGTCTCCTCTGTTAATGTATCTTAAAGTTGTTTCATGGTAGCGCGTTTGTGTAACATGCACAAGGCCCTGAGTTCCATCCCCAGAAGATTGTTTTGTTTTAGCACATGAGAATTTTACCTTCTGTTTGTCAACTGCTAGATTTGATTCTTTATGCAGCTACAGCAATATTCATTTTAAGGATCCAGGCGCCGGTGACTCACACCTATAATCCTAGCTACTGGGAGGCAGAGATTAGAGGATCGTGGTTCAAAGCCAGCCCAAAGTTTTCAAGACCCTATCTTGAAAATACCCAGCACAATAAAGGGCTGCTGGTTTGGCTCAAGTGGTAGAGTACCTGCTTGGCAAATGTGAAGCCCTGAGTTCAAACCTCAGTCCCATTAAAAAAAAAAAAAAAGTTGAAATCTTTTTTTTTTCTTTTTAACCTAAATATGCATCAGTAGTTAAATGGTTTTTTTGTATGTGTGTGTGTGACTGGGATTTGAACTCAGGGCCTCACATTTGTAAAGCAGATGCTCTACCACTTGAGCCACTCTATCAGCTCATTTTGCTCTGATTATTTTAGAGATGGGGGGGGTCTCACAAACTGTTTGCCTGGGTTGACCTTGAACTGTGATCCTCCTGATCTCAGCCTCCCAAGTAAGTCAACAGTGTCCTCCTGGCAATTTCAACTTTTATAAACTATGTTGAATTAAATAGTTTTATACTTCATTAAATGTGAGTTTATCTTTAGGATAAATTCCAGAGAGCAAAATTGCTGGGTCAAAGGAAGATGTATCAAGATTTTATCCAGATTGCCTTATAAAAACTAGAACTCTCTCAAAATTTATCAGAACTGTGAGAAGTACTCATGTTGTCCGCACATCGTGGTTTCCAGCTAGAAAATACCTACGTTACAGAGGTCTTCTGGCTTTCTTACTTTACCTTTAAAACCAGCAGACTTGGGAGGTGTGGACTCTGACAGACATGCTGCATAGATGTCTGGGAGGAGTACAGGCGCTTGTTCTCTAAGCAGCTGTCCCTCCTGTGCTGGCTGTTTTCTTTTGCTCTCATTGGCGGGGGTTCTTGTAGGCTCAGTCTTCCTCTCTCTTCTTTCCTGCTTTGTCTCAGCTTGTGTGGATGAGTGTATCGTCTAGAGAGCAGACCGTTTCCCACAAAAAGGAATGAGGGTGCTCTTATTTGGAAAATCTGCTTTCCAGTGGATGAATGTTGGGGTTGGACTGTAAGAGTGGAACGATCTTGACCTTTTATCTTCAGCGTGTTTTTCCTCTGGTACCATATGCCAGTTGAATTTGCAGATAATGGGGGAAGGCTAGAGGGAGGGAGGAGGGTGTGGGGGAACCAGTGAGAAGTTGCCAGCAACTTAACAAAGTTACTGAAACTTAGTTACAAGGTTTGTTTTTAGCATTTCTTTATTATCATATTGTTGTACTGAAGAGTGAGTTTAATGTGAATTGATCTCATTAAAGTTACTTCTGAAGAGTAGAAATCAGACATTGCAGTAGCAATAAGAATATGGCAGGTTAGGAATAACTTGTTACTTTCAGCAAGCTTTCTGATTTATTTATTTATTTACTATTTATTGATTGATTGATTGTAGTGCTGGGTTGAACTCGGGGCCCCAGGCTTACTGCACAAGTGTTCTGCCATTTGAACCACATCACCAGCTCTTTTTGCCTTTAGTTACTTTGTGATAGAGTCTTGCTTTATGTGAGAGCTGACCTGGACCACACTCCTCCTGTTTACACTTCCTGTGTAGTCGAATTGACAGGCACAGGGCACTATATTCACCCATTAGTTGAAATGAGGAGGTCTCCTGAACTTTTGGCCAGGACTGGCCTCAAACTGTGATCCTTCTTTTCTCTTCCTACTCAGTAGCTAGGATTGCAGGCATGAGCTACTCTTCGTGGCCAAGTTTTCTTATTTATAAAGCAGGGCTGCTTATAGTACCTCTAAAGACTTGAGGATTAAGTGCGATATGTATACATGCAACAAACTAAGGTCTCATGTGTATACATACATATATATGCCTAGGCATCACAGCTCATAAACTGGGGAATAAGGGCCCAAAAGTTGCTTGACTGATGAGTAAAAAATAGTCTTTTGTCTGTTTCCTAGGCCAGACACTTGTTTTCCCCTCAGTATTGGAATCCCCCCTCCCCCTTATCTCTTCCTTCCACCTTTCTCTCTCTTTTTTTTTTCCTTCCACCTAATACCTTTTTTTTTTTTTGGCAGTACTGAGGCTTGAACTCAGGGCCTACACCTTGCCACTCCACCAGCCCTTTTTTGTGAAGGGTTTTTTCAAGATAGGGTCTCTTGAACTGTTTGCATGGGCTGGCTTTGTACCTTGATCCTCCTGATCTCTGCCTCCTGAGTTGCTAGGACAACCGGCTCTGATATCCCTTCTGTCCCTGTCTTGAGCCTGTGCTTCACTGTGTAACTCTTCTCAGGAAGTACGTCTGGCAGAAGAAAATGGGTTTACACATCAGGAACTTCCTGTTGTGTCCAGAGCATCCAGCAGACTCAGTGGGAGAGCTGTGGGCCTCCTGCACCTTCCCCCCTCCAAGTCATCTTATATGTAGATGTTTTTTCTTATTTATATTCTTGTCAAATCTTTCAAAAATAATGCTGTCATTTGTAGTGTAGTTACCTATAAACCAGTAAATCCCTCTAATTAAGAGCTGATTATAAAGTGTGAGGCCCTGAGTTCAAACCTCAGTCCCACCAAAAAAATACATATGTAAAATAAAGAGCTGATTATACCTTTAATTTTTTTCCAATGGAAAAACTTTGAATTTAGGTTTTCCATAGGCTTAAAAAAACAGAGCCTAGTCATTGCTTCTTGGTATTGTTACTATTTTAATAATGCAGGGAATTGCACTCAGGGCTTTGAGCTTCCTGGGCAGGCACTCTGCCATTGAGCTACACCCCCAATTCCTGTTCTTGGTATTATTTTAATTTGAGAATGGTAGGAAAACCTGGAGAAGTGTACATTTGTGTAAGTGATGTAATGTGTTTGTGATGATATCATCTCTTTCTTTACAGGTAGGCGAAAACCAAGAGTACATCGGCCTCGTTCTCCAATATTAGAAGAAAAAGACATCCCGCCCCTTGACTTTCCCAAGTCCTCTGAGGATTTAATGGTGCCTAATGAGCATATAATGAACGTTATCGCCATCTATGAGGTACTGCGGAACTTTGGCACCGTTTTAAGATTGTCTCCTTTTCGCTTTGAGGACTTCTGTGCCGCCCTGGTGAGCCAGGAGCAGTGCACGCTCATGGCGGAGATGCACGTCGTGCTCTTAAAGGCTGTGCTGCGGGAAGAGGACACATCCAACACCACCTTCGGCCCAGCTGACCTGAAAGACAGTGTCAACTCCACTCTGTATTTCATCGATGGGATGACGTGGCCTGAGGTGCTGCGGGTGTACTGCGAGAGTGACCAGGAGTACCACCACGTTCTCCCCTACCAGGAGGCAGAGGACTATCCCTATGGACCAGTAGAGAACAAAATCAAAGTGCTGCAGTTTCTAGTTGATCAGTTCCTCACCACGAATATCGCCCGTGAGGAGCTGATGTCTGAGGGTGTGATCCAGTATGATGACCACTGCAGGGTTTGTCACAAACTTGGGGACTTGCTTTGTTGTGAGACGTGTTCAGCTGTGTACCATTTGGAATGTGTGAAGCCACCTCTAGAGGAGGTGCCGGAGGACGAATGGCAGTGTGAAGTCTGTGTTGCACACAAGGTGCCTGGAGTGACTGACTGTGTTGCTGAGATCCAAAAGAATAAACCATATATTCGACATGAGCCCATTGGCTATGACAGAAGTCGGAGGAAATACTGGTTCTTGAATCGAAGACTCATAATGTAAGTAAACCTGGTCATAAATTCTGGATGTGTTTAAAACCAAACCATTTTCCTTCATGGTGGATGTCACAGAGCTGTATCATCAGTGTGGTATAAAGTTTTTTAATCTAATGATGAGTTGTAGTAAAGTGAATTTCAAACCTGCAGGAATAAGTCTGTTGACCCCCTTTGTAAACGTTAAGAAAGAAGAGAGTTCACAGAATGCAGAAAAGGGGATGTTCCCAGGCAGAACACCACTGGGTGTCAGTCAGCCCTTCCTTGGTTTGTGATGGGGTTTTGCCCTTTGGCTTTACCATATCTGTTTGTAAAATGGAGTAGCAAGAGCAGAACTTGCTGCAGCACTTGTCACAGCCAGTCTCCCAGGAGGAGGTGGCACAGGTCAGAGTCTGTCCTCAGTGTCCCCAGGGCTTCACGAAGCACTTCTGGGCATCATCAGGCCAGGTTGAAGTGGACACCATATTGGCCACCCCATAGGAACCTGGAAGGGGGCGTGGCTGCTTTGTATCTTCAGTGTCCCAGGTTTTCAAAGCCTTCTTCCAGTTCTCAGAATTAAGTCAAACAGCAAATGTGTGGTAGGATGACATAAATGTCAGAGCAGGGTATAGAGGGCAGAAGGAAGTCACCACTCTTGCTGTGCAGTGTCTGAACCCATTTGACTCTTCTTTTTCAATATTGAGACTTGAACTGAGAACCTTGCTCATACTAGGCAAGTGCTCTGATATTTGTGCTAAGCACCAACCCTTCCATTTATTATTTTGTGTTTGAGATAGGGTCTCGCTAACTTGACTGGCCTCAAATGTGTGATCTTCCTGCCTTCACCTTCCGGGATTACAGGCATGCACCACTCTGTGCCCAGCTTGTGGGTTTTTTGTTTGTTTATTTGTTTTGTTTTGTCTTTTGGAGGTATGGGGCTTTAAATTCAGGTTTTGTATTTGTTAGGCAGGTGCTCTACCACTTCAGCCACACCTCTAGCCCCATGCCCAGCTTCTGGTTCTTTATTTATTTCAAAGGAGTGGTTTGGACTCAGCTGAAAGTTTATGGAATCTTCTCACCTGCTGTGTTGTAAAGGTGTATGATGATAGGCACTTGTGTGGTCTGTTTTCATCCATTGAACACTTGGTGGCCATTCTCAATCTGGAAGTTGTGACCTTGGACTCAGAACTCTCCTGATGACTTCTTCCTCTCCTTTTCCCTGTCGAATTTGTCTTGAGCTATTATTTTATCGAATGCTGGACTTCCTGTTTTGGCCTTCCGATTTTCTCATCTTTTTCCCTCTAGCTTTCTTCTTGGTCTTTTTTCCTTACTGGGTTGTATGTGTGTCACTCAGTTTTTCTAAGTTTTCTTCTCTTGTTTTCCCAATGCTACTGTTTTCTGCTACCTTATCTTTATTTTCTAGAATTGTTTGGTTTTTGAATCATTTTTTTAAAAGATAATAAATAGAATAAATAGAATACTGTTTCTATATCACGGATGTAATTTTTTCTCTTACCTTTTTGAGCATATTTTTATTTATTTATTTTGTTGATACTGGGTGTTGAACTCAGGGCCTTGCACTTTGCAGGCGAGGCTCTCCTATGTGAACAATAGCCACCCCCCCCTCCCCGCCCCCAAGCACTTTTTGTTTTAGTTATTTTTGGGATAGGGTCTAGCGTTTATTCCAGGGCCATCCTGAATTGCAGTCCTCCTATTTAAGCTTCCTGAGTAGCTGGGATGACAGGCTACCTCACCCAGCTTTTTATTGGTTGAGATGTGGAGAGGGGTGTCTTGTGAACTTTTTGCCTAGGTTGTCCTCTAACCACGATCCTCCAAAAGTAGTTGCGATTACAGGCATAAGCCACCACGCCCAACCTTGTTTTTGTTTCTTAGACAGTATCTTGCTTTGTAGCCCAGCCTGACCTGGGACTGTCAGTCCTGCCTCAGACCCCGGAGTGCTGGAATTACAGGTGTGCACTACCACACTTGGCTTCTAAGGATATTAATTGTAGGGGTTTTTTTCCCTTACATAATCTATTTCTTCTAAATTGCTTCTTCCTGTTTGTTTTGGTCTCTCTCTTCCATCTTCAGATGTCTGTTAATCCTTTATTTTCTGCTCCTGATTAACATTGCGAATATGTGGCTAATTGGAGCTGTAAGACTTGTAGTCTCACCATGGGTGACTTTCATAGTGTTTTCTTGGGGAATCCCTATTGTCTGTATTTTTAGCTCTTTCTTGGAGAACTGGGCCCAAAGTCCTTTTCCAGTGTCCGGCTTGGCGCGTGCAGGGCTGCCTGGTGATATTCTGGTGGCTGAGTGGTGGAAGTGAGCTGTGTTTGTTGTGCATACTGCATTTCCTCTGTCACTTAAAGCATCAGTTGTCTGAACAGTATCTTAGTTCCCACCTGAGTATGGTGTCTTCTGGCCCAGAGCACTTTAGTTTTACCTCCTCTGGAAACTAGTCCTTTAGTGGCTTGGAGGGAGAGGGGCCCTAGGGATCTGCTCCTTACACAGCCACAGACAGTTGTCTGGTTCCTGTCCTCCCCTCCTCGTCTGTAGTCTTCGCAGGACTGGGAAATTGAGTTGCTTCTCAGCTGCTCTTGCTTTGGGATTGGGCTTTCTTGGCTCTGATCTTTGGTGGTAATCCCTTGTCCATCTGCTTTCCTGCTTTCAACCTTTTTGGTTCTCTCTTCTTTTCCCTATCCTTGTGAGTTTATGTCTTTAAAAATAGTTCTTTTAAAAAAATATATAGTTGAGGACTGGTACCATGGCTCAAGTGGTAGAGCTCCTGTCTAGTAAGTGCAAGGGCCTGAGTTCAAATCCCAGCACTGCCTGCAAGGGGATTTATTTTTTATTTTTTATTTTTGGTTCATTCATTCATTTGTTTTTGAGACAGTGTCTTGCTTTGTAGCCCAGGCTAGCCTGGAACTCAGTCCTTCTGCCTCAGCCTTCCAAGTGTTGGTATTATAGATGTGTGCCACCATACCCAGTGTTCTTTAGCATAGTTTTAAGACAATCTCCGAAGGGAGCAGAATTAGATCTGTCACCTTAATCCATAAACTGGTATAAGAAATAATACAATATATAAAAATTTAAAAGAATATCATATATCTATTGGTTTGGATCTATTCTTCTCTCCCTCCCCTTCCTTTATGTTTTTCAGACAGGGTCTTGCTTTGTAGCCCAGGCTGGGATCCTCTTACCTCCACCTTCAGTGTAGCTGGGATTACAGGCATGTACTACCATGCCCAGTACCTGGCTGAGTTTTAGTTGACATTTAATGCTGTGTGCTGTCATTGTAATGAAAATTCAGTTGTGCTGCATGTCAGAGAGCTTGGTGCTTATTCTCTCTGTAGACCTTGTTCACTCCATCTCAGGTGCTCTTCTGAAAGAAGCTCATAATGTTTAGAGTTGCTGTGAACAGATTAGGAAGTGAGATTTAGTCCATGTTCCTCTTCTCCCATCCCTGAACTTCTCTTCCCAGTCCTGTGCCTTCTCCCTTTTGATTGTCATAAAAGCCACCTGCGTCTTTCTCTGCACTGCTCTTTTTTGGCTACACAGTGTATAGCTAAGCCTTGACATCTTTAAGACTTACTACACAGCAATCAGTGGTCTAGGCCTTCCTTAGTTTTAGAGACCTGGAAGTAGAACTGGTAGGTGATGATTTAGTGATGAAAATGGCCCAAAATGATGTTTATTGGGCATTCACTGTGCACCTCACAGTGTCCTCTAAGCATTTTAAAAATTCGTCTCCACATCCACCCAATAATGGCCGTGTTATATTGCCTACATTTTATAGATGGAAGAGACTGACTCAGATTAAATAACTCACCCTTGAACTTATCCAAGGTACTATGGCTGTTAGGAAGTGGGATCTGAAATTTTTTGGGCTGTTTGTAAGAATATTTGTAGTACCTGAATATATGCCGCAGTCTAGCTTCCAAATGACCACCTTGCAAGCCTGTTAAAATTTGTGCCTGGGATCTGGGGGAGAAAGTGTGGTGGTGGTTTTTGTTATATGCGCACTGAGTACTTCTCAGAGCGTTTACATTTTGAAATAAAGGCACTTTTAGAGAATGTAAAGTAAATTAAGTGGTGTTCTGAGTTTTGCTCTGTGTTGATACTGGGACGTTTAGGAAGCAGATACATCCAGATGAAACAACTGAAATGACTTAAGGAAGTAAAGAACTGCTTTGAACTTAGTTAAGTAGGTGAGCACTTTTGCAATCACAGGATTCAGACAACTTAAGTTACCATTTAAGCACTGGGGATGAATTTTTGATTCATTATTGGTGAGGTCAAATACTCTCCTATGTTGAACAATAAAATTCTTCATTTAAGTTTTGTTTGGCAATTAAACGGTACATTTAAATGTTTGCTTTAACAACACTGATCATAGTCACTCAAATTGGTATTTTTGGCACATTATCAAATGCATAGAATTTAAAGATGACCACAGACTGATATCTTTTTTCATGCTATGATACTTGAGTATTTTCTGCTTAAAATCAAATTGGACATTTAAAGCATAGTTAGTGATAATTAAGTAAATTTGAAAGATATAACATTTACTGAAAATAATTTCAGAGTCGATGTTCCCTTGTGGTAGGTTCTATGTGGACTTTTGTGAAAGTTTTAAAGCCAGATAAGTTACACAGGCAGTTATAGCATGGAGAGGTTTGGTGTATGCTTTCCCTGGAAGCTCTGAAACTTCAAGTGGTGAATCTCAGGGCCCTGTAGCTCAAGAGGGAGGTGCCAAAAACAGAGACTGTCAGAAAACACTTTTAAGTTATTCGTAGAAATTTTTCCATTATTTGAGGGGGCTGGTGGAGTGGCTCAAGTGGTAGAGCACCTGCCTAGCTAGCATGAGGCCTTGAGTTCAAACCCCAGTACTACCAAAAAAGAAAAAAAAAAAAGACATTATTTGTGTAGGTTAGTGATGCATAAAACCAAAGAAAGGTCCTTATACATGAATTTATAGTCTATCTGGGGAGTGAGACAGACATTCAGTAAACAATTTAGATGTCAGTTTTAGTATGGTTTGTAAGCAGGCCAATCTTTCTTCTGTTTCCTTCCTTCTTCCCTCCCTACCACTATGTTGCCCAGGCTAGTCTTAAATTCCCTGACTTCCTGTCTCTGCCTCTGGAGTACTCAAGAGTGCTGGGATTACAGGTGTGTACCACCACACCTTGCTTATATTTTTTCTTTTCCAAATGAACTAAATTATACTTTTTGACTTTTACTGCTTTCTACCCACATCTCACCAGTTCTGTACATTCATCAGCCTCCTGGACATGTCCAAATCACAAGCATTTCAAAGATAACACATTTAAAACAACTTACTTTTCCCCCATTACCTACTCTTCATCCAGTGTTCTCGTCTCAGTATATGGGGTCACATACTAGAAACCTGGGAATGATATTTTGTCTATATTTGTTAAAGCTCTTTTCTCTCCTCTCCTTCCCCCCTCCAGAGTCTCACTATGTAGCCCAGACTGGCCTCAAACTTGTGATCTTCCTGTCTCCGCCTCTTGAATGCTGAGGTTGCAGGTGTGTACCACCCACTGGGCACTGATTATACAGTTTAAATGCCTC